ATCCAGAGTTCCCTTCTCCTGCCAGCCTTGCCCTTCACACTAACAAGAACATGTTGGCCCTAAACCCTCACTAACTTGCTTTTGACTGCCTCCCACTTGCCAGATGTCCCTTTTACCTGCAAATGGCTTCCCCCAATCAACTTTTAAAAGTTTGTGTCTAAGACTGTCAACATTGACCTTACCCCAGTTTAGAACTTAAACTTGTGGACCAGGTCTATCCTTTTCCACAACTACTTTAAAACTAATACAATTATGGTCTCCGGTTCCAATGTTCTCCCTCACTGACATCTCAGTCACTTGCTCTGCCTTATTTCTCAACAGGAGATCAAATTTTACCCCTTTTCCAATTGGGCCATCTATATATTGATTGAGAAAATTTTCCTGAGTACACTTAACAAATTCCTCCCTATTCAAGCCCTCAACACCATGGCAGTCCCAGTCTTATGTTTGGTAAGTTAAAATCCCTACTGTTACAACCCTACTATTCTTTCAGCTATCTGTGATCTCCCAACATATTGCTCCTCAATTTCCCACTGTCTGTTGGAGGGCCTATAATACAATCCCATCAGTGATCAACTCCTTATTTTTCAGTTCCATCCATATAGCTTCCCTCAGGTATATCTTCTCTAAGTACCGCCATGATGTTTTCCCTAATTAAAAATGCCACTCCCGCTCCTCTGCAGCCTCCCCTTCTATCCTTCCCCTAGCATCTGTAACCCAGAACTGCTGCCACTTCTATCCTCCCTCAGCCATGTTTCTGAAATATCTATGATATCCTAGTCCCATATTCTTATCCATGCCCAGAGTTCATCTGCCTTACCTGTCAGGCCTCTTGCATTGAAATAAATGCAGTTTAATTCATCGTCTTCCCTGCCGCGCTTTTGCCTACCTGGCCTATTGAACTTGCTGTCTGTAACTTCTGCACTCGCCTCAACCTTCCCCTTTGTCTCATTCTGTTTAGGGTTCAGAACCCAGGAAAGAATAAAGAAAAGATGCTGTTGGCAAGATTGGCATTTATTGCCCATTTCTAGTTACAGTAGGCTTTTTTTTATTGAACCACTATGTGGTGAGGGCATGTATAACTAATTGAAGCAACACAATGTCTTTTGCTCCCAAGCCTGTAGGCTGTAGACTAACAATTCACTGCAGTGCGAAGATCAACAATGTTGGCATGGGAATGGAGTCATCCACAACTGTGGCAGACTGGGTAAAGTCAGCGTGTCCCTTGCCTAAACTAATGAGCCAATTGGGCATTCAATGTCCATCCAACAACTTCATAGATATTTTTTATTCCTGACTTGTTAGTTATGGATTTTAAACTGAATTCAAACCCACAAATTCTCATGATGAGATTTGAACTCCCATTCTCTGAATTACTAGCCCAGTAATCTAGCCATTACACCATCATCTTGATGATAATTTATTGCATGCAAGAGAAAATGTGTAACCTTATGAGCCTCCTCTGCACATGTGCAGAAGAGTTTTTGGTTTCTGTTTGTGCTGGGCAGCAAATACAAACCAATGAAGTTCAACAACCAAAATAATCTTTCATTTCCACATCCTCCAACTATGTTTCGCATTCATTTCAAGAGGATTGGTAAGGATTCTCACATTACCACTGGAGATGGGGCCCCTCCAATTATGTGTCGATTTGACAGATATCAAAAATAAATTCAAGAAACATTGGAAGTGCACAACAGGTCAGTCAAAAATTGTAACTAGAAAAGACAAGTTGGTAATTCTGAAGACGACTTTTGTCAGCGTACTCTAACATAGTATCTTGCCCTAAATGTTGCCTTGTCTTTTTTATTCATGAAAAGGGGCAACGTGTGGTACCCTGATAACCAACTATCTACATAAAACATCATTGGGACATGTTTATCAGCTTCCTTCATGTGCCCATGCCATAGTCGAACAATCTCTACAGTTTGTTGCTACTTAACTATATTTTGTGTTATTTGCTACCTACACAATGTTGTAATATATGTGCAGAAATGGAAGCCTCCAAAGCATAATGTTTGTGGCATTATCAGCTTGACACTCTTTGGGGAGGTAACAGATTAAGTTTTATTCACTATTTGGAGGTATCTGAGAGGCAGATAATATGACATACAAATGGGTTGGTGATATGGGGAGTGCAATGGCTTCCTACTCCCATGGCTTTTACCTGTGTTGAGAAACTCAGTAGTGCAGCTGCCCAATGGAGAGGCAACTGAAGTAATTAACTGCCCTACTAAGAACCACCTTGCCACCACCTCCCCCCTCCTCCCCCCCCACCCCCCCACCACCATCACATTAGAATTGTAGCAATGTTAAGAGGGACTCCTCACGTACCTAGCAGTCTCCCAGAGGGTTCCCGAAGTTGGGGGTGGCAGATGGGTGAGCAATAGCCCTCAAAACACTCAGTCTGTGTTGTATCCTGGACTGCTTCGGTGACTAATAAAATGAGGGAGAAATTCTGTCAGACATTATTTCCTTCTAGGGCTTTCCTGTTTCTTTGCCTGTCCCAGAAGATTACATGCCCACGATGGGCCAGGGAGGAATCTAGCATAAGGCTGAGCGTGGGACAGGCTTCATGGGCCAACCAGTCATTTCCTGCCCATCTATTTAATGTGTTTGTAAATTAATAATGTGAGGGAGACAATTGAAAGCAAAGATTCTAGAGACCATGGAGGCAGGCAATAGCATCAACATAATAATAAATAAAATCAGTTCAAAAAACAAATGTACAGTTTTAAAAACATTTGTGCAGCTCCAATCACTAATTGTTTCTTGCTTCTCTTGCTGTACCTTTGTGAGGTTTATGAAGCGGTACATTTAACGAAATGAATGGTATACTTAATGAATTTTACTGAATTAGTTTTGTCTAGTACAGCTCATGCGAGTGAGAGGTTAATACACAATACCTACCAAGCTGGTGAATTGTTCGTCTGGAGAAAGGAAACCGAGAATGGTTTCTGGTCAGTAGGGAATGAGTACTCTGTCCTTGAAATACAGAACCAAAACGCAATAATGGGAAATGTAAATAAAATACCTTACTTATAATTTTGATTTTTTTAAGGAAAGGGAACTGTGTTTGATGTGATTTAGATAAATTCTCAACCGCTCTGACAAGCTTAGTTTTCAGGTCAGATTAAATTGCACTGGCTGGTTTAAGTGCAACTGCCTCTCTGACTAAAATTTAAGTGGTAAAGGTGCCTCCTAGCTTGTGAACGTTTATCATCATCTGTAAATGAGTGCATCAAATTTAGATGCAAAGAACCATTGAGGGAATTTGCTCCTTAGTGATTGCAAGTCATAAGATTCACAATATCATCACAGGGCCATCCTGTTTGCTCTACCACCTTCCTCTATTATTAAACTTAATGGGAAAAAAAAGCGTTATTTATAGAAAACCGGTTCTGGTGTCAATACAATTTGCACCATTTCTTGTGAGTTATTGATTTCAGTTAGCAACGTGTCAATTCATCTTTATTTTTGAAGTCAGTTTGCCAGCTCATTGATGTGGAGCAGACAAAGCTCAAGGAAAAGAAATGTAGTGTATTAAAAAGAACCAGAAAGCAATCTCAGAAAGTTCATGCTTCCAGAAATCGCTGAAAAATAGGTTGCTTTACCACAAGAGTGCAAGTGCCTTTCAAAAATTTGTAAACAAACCACAGCAAAAAAATGTTTGATGTTTTTCATTAGATTGCACCTTAAGTAGAGACGATTCATTTCTCACTACTTTCCCATTTATAATTCACATGATGGATCATGTGATATTATTGGGTTTCACACAAAAATAAACAGAATCACAGATTGAGATTGCAAAACACCAAATCAAATTCCTTCATTCCAAACCAACAAAAGGAAATTTAATCTATTTGGCTGTTCCCTGGAGTAGGAACCTTAGTCAGAGACTTTTCTTCAGGACTATTTCTCAGTTGTTTCTTGAAATATCAGCTTTTCTCACACAGCCAATTTTTTTAAGGCCATTCATTAGATTTGCCAAGTTTTCTGGGTTGACGTGGACCATGGAGTTGTCATGTGTGTTGGTGATGAACCTATCAAAGCTACAGGCACTTTGTTCCAAAGGACTATTTTAGGTACTGCAATAAGGGCTGTTGTGGTGCAGTGGTAGAGTCCCTACCTCTGACCCAGGTGACCCAATTTTAAATCCCATCTGCTCCAGAGGTGTCATAACATCTCTGAACAGCTTGATCAGGAAATACTTAACTACAGCAATGAAAGCAAGTCACCTTCATTTTGCCATGATATCCTCTTCCTTCACTTGCTCTCCAGTGAAAGAAATGTCACAATGTACCAGCAACCAAGCATACAGTTGCAGTCTCTGCAAACAGGAAGCTCCAATCTTGCAGATCATTCTCTGGTTGTGGGGGTAGATCTGCTTTAAACTGGCAAAAGTATTTCAAGACCATCAACTCAATGAGAAGTTTTTTGGCAATTTTTTATCTAATTCGAAAGGGCAAGAGTCAGGAAAACAGTGTAATGATTGTTCCATGTTTGTAAGCAGTTTTATTTTGCCAAATACATTTCTCTTAATGTGCTCCTTCAGAGCCCTTGAGAGCCACCTTGTGAAACATGATACCAATAGTTTAAAGAGGGTCATTTAATTAATAGTCATTGATTAATAGCCATACTTTGAAGAGATCTGCATGAGGTTTCCAAAATAGCCTGGACTAGTAGCAAAAATGATTCTCGAGTCATGTTGCAGCCTGATAAAAATAAATCAGATGCACTTTTGTCTAAGTTCGACAAAAGCTGCCAAATGTAGAGTAGCTTTCAAATGAAGTCATCGAGAAAGGTGAGTGCAAAACTGCTGCAGGATGAGCTTTAATGTTAGTGGCAGTGATGTTGCGGATATGCCTGGCTTATTCTGATCTATAATGCCCCCCACTTGCCTGGTGCAATTGCACACCCCAGTTGGGGCAACTAAAAAATGTGCTGATTTTAAAATTTGATGTTCCTTTTTATTAATAAATTGTACAATTTCTTCTTAGATCCTGAGGAGCAAGTCCAATGCAATTCAAATGAACGAGCATTCAAGGAGCGCATATTTTCTAGAAAACGCCAAGGAGCAATGCGGCGAAAGATTCACCAGGTCAACAATCATAAGTTCATGGCCACGTATCTGCGCCAACCCACATACTGCTCTCACTGCAGAGAATTCATATGGTAGGAAGCTCCTGTATTAAGTTACAGGCATTAAAAAAAAATTGTGCTTTCTGTTTAAATGTTACAATCCTTAAAAATGAAACACTTGTCAAGGCACCTACATCTGTGACATTTTTAACACAGGAAAATGAAGGACTGTCTTCCAGTGACCTTATAAGGGTGTTCATCCACTCATTACCTCATGCTCTTGGGCAAATAAATATCCTTGATGTTGAAGTTTATTCGCTGTTGCATTTTCCTGTGTTACAAATATAGTTTATCTTTTGTAAACACTTTGAAAGACAAAATAGTTAATCATTATGTCATTTGAAATTAAATGGAGATTTATGTAGTGCTTTAATTGACCAGATAGCTATGGCCTAGGGCAGCACTTACCAAACTAAAAGTTAATGAGACCTCATATGCCAAAAAAAACAAAACAGCAATAAAGCAGCCTAGCATCATTCATTACATAAATTGATACTTGAGGCTAATTAGATTGTGTTTATGTTTTAGGATCGTGCCCTTCAGTTGTAGTAAAACGAAGGGGGTTGCGTGACCTGCTCTGGAGTCTGCCAGACAATGTGCTTAAATAATACGATTGTTAGAGATTAAAGGGACCTCAGATTGTTTTACTAGGAAGCAGGTGCAATGGCAACAGCCTAGAGTTGGGGGTAAGTTAGCTCAGCTGGCTGAATACCTGGTTTATGATGCAAGTGACAACAACAGTGGGGGTTCAATTCCTGACTGAGGTTACCATGAATAACTCTCAACTCTCCTTCTCAATCTCTCGCCTTGATTAAGGTGTGGTGACTCTCTTGTTAAACACAACCAGTTGTCTCTCTCTAATGAGGAAACAGCCCTATGGTCTGGTAGGACTATGGTGACTTTACCTTTTACTTTAGACTGTGAGCCCCCAAGGGAACAGTGTTGAGAATGTCAGGTTCTAAGTAGTTGTAATTTAAACTGTCCATTTAATTCCATGATTGAAAATTGGAATCTTTGGACAGATGATCAGTATCTTTACCCATGTGATTTCCCATGGTGCCATTATGATGTGTTTTGGGATAGGAAGTTCAGAGGAAACCATTATGATATTCTTTCCCAAAATATCACTGTCAGAATTGAAATGGTTTACCAGGTTTAGGGGAAAGACAGAGAGAGAGAGAACATTTGGAGGTTGAAAGTCTCTAGTTCTCTGCAGTAGAACATGGGCAGAAGCTGGCACTGAGATTGGGAAGAACAAATTTGTGGCGAGTTGAAGTGAGGGTGAAATCTTTGCCTGGCTATAACTAGAATGAGAAGTCTTCAGGAAAATTTCCACATTCGAAGACTGATTTAGAGATAATCTGTCAAAAGAAAATTTCTGAAGTAAGCTCTTGGGAGTCATTTATTTTAGACTGAATGTCATCCTAAAGGACATTGTAACATGTGCCTGATTGTGGCCTTTCCTGGTTGTGTTAAAAATAAGAATGGCATATTCCATTTTGTTCTTTGAAATGTAAGTCGCTGATAAAACTAGTGTTGAATTAGTAGTGCTGTCATTTGTTACAGGAAATGTCTTAAAATGTGAAACCTTGATGTGTCATTCTTTCAGTTCTTAACAGTAAATTAAAGTATATTGTCCAAAAGTTATCAGTGTCCCAGCAATCATAACAAATGATTAAACTTCACAGATGAAATATCTTGTAACTATGGCAACATGTGATGAAAATCCCGAGCCCTCAGTTAACGAGTTGTCACTGGATACTAAATCCATCCCCATGTTCATCGTTCACAAATTCGCTGTGACAAATCTTTGACATATTTATGTTGGCAATGGTCATATCCTAGCATGCCTTGTTGGAGCCAACGCAGCCAATCAAAATGTATGATATTGAGGGAGTTCATCTAGTGAATGGCTATTTCTCACCTCCCAAACTATACGAGGCACCAGGAGATTAACATAATTTTAATTATTTTGAGCCATTTCACTGTTTCTGTGACCCTATTTGGGATCATGATCACCAGTTTGGAAACCACTGGTATGTGGGGTCGTTTGGGGGAAAACCCCTTCACCAAGAAGATTAACAAGTCAACGTACTGCCAAAGTAATGTTGCAGCAGTTAAGAGAATTCAGACTGAAGGAGATATTCCACCAACAAATGGGTGATCAACAGGATGCCAGGAAAGTGGATGATACCACAGCATTATTGAGTAGGCCTTTATTCCACCTCTGTAAATGCCCTTGAGAATAAGATGTAGTCAGCTGCCTTCTTGAATGTGTTTCAGAAACCTTCAGGTGCAGTAATAGAGAATGACAAGATGTTGAGACAAAACTCATTGATGGATGCCTTCGTCCTAATCAGCCTGGTGATTGTCATTTTTTTTATCCGCAGGGGAATTTTTGGAAAGCAAGGATACCAGTGTCAAGGTAATCATTGATTTTAATTTAATGAGTCTGATGACATTCATCTGTTGAAGAATGCACCCTAACCTGTAATCATGCGAAAGTAGTTTTTCAGTCAAGTTCCTCATCCTAAATAAGAGATTCAGCTAAGAACAAAAGATATCTTTATTTTAGCTGACCACTGTCAGATTGGCCTAGGAAACTGGGTTTGTGCTCATTTTCACTTTGACCTGAAATTCCTGAAATAAGAAAGCATGGTATTTGTGAAATAAATCAGTCAGTTAATAACTCTAATGATCAGTGTTAACCTACCTGAGTATGGCAATCAACTCATTGAGTTCCAGAGAATTTAGGAACTTATGGTTAGCATCTAGAGAAAAAGCTTGTTGTTTAAAATGAAGTCCCTTTCTCATCTGTTAAAATCCAGAGGGTTTTGTTGAACAGCACTTCATTATTTGATCTTCACTCTGTCTCGTCAATGAAGAACTGTTAGTGATCGCGATATCAAGATTTTTATTTGAAGAAATAAATCTCATTGGGGTCACTTAGCATCACTGCTCAATGGTTGATGATTGATAAGTGATTCTTTAATAATATTGCCTGGTTTACAACAGTGAAACCTTCACTGAGCTAAACAAAATGTTCATAATGCTTTTAAAAAACTGAAAAAATTATAAGTACTTTCATGAAGAATTGGATCTGTTTGTGATAGGCAAGACTGCTATTTAAATGGCTGATGATTTATAGCATTAATCCTCGCTCATGTTTATCTCACAGTGTGTACGTGTGTGGTTCACAAACGCTGTCACCAGTTAATTGTCACAGCATGCCCGAGAATAAAGAAGGACAAAAAAGGGGAGGTACAGACAGCACTGAATTTCTGTGTTTGTTTAACAATATTTTGGTCTGGTATAATTGTCTATATGTCTTTGTAGTGCCACCTTGAATGTGTGAGATTTCCAATTGTGTTTTAGCAGCATTTGCAAAACATATCTGTGTACCAGAAAGGTAAAGATCTAAACAAGGTGATATGTCAAAGGCTTGGAATTCTGCAGCAAGTAACTCACCTCCTGTCTCCCCAAAACCTGTCTGCAAGGCACAAGTCAGGAGTGTGACGAAATACTGTCATTCACCTGGATGAGGATAGCTCCCACAAAACTGAAGAAAATCAGAACAACAAAGCAGCTTGCTTGATTCGCACCCCATCTAACATGTTTGATATTAATTCCCTGCAGCACTGACACTCAGTAGCAGCAGTTTGTGCTGTCTCCAAGATACTTTGCAGAAATTAACCGAGGTCCCTTAGACAGCATCTTCAAAACCAATATCCACTTCCATCTTGCAGGCCAAGGGCAGCAGAACCCTGGGAACACCACCACCTGCAAGTTCCCCTCCAAGCCACTCACCATCCTGACTTGGAAATGTTTTGCTGTTTTTTTTCACAATCACTGTGTCAAAATCCTGGAAATCCCTCCCTGACAGCACTGTGGGTGTTAACTACATCCAAAAGATTGCAGTGGTTCAGGAACGCAGCTCCCCACCTCCAAGGCAACTAGGAGCTGGGCAACATCCCATAAACAAATAAAAAAAAATCTGATTTGCATGGGAACGTTGTCTCCATGTGTCAATCAGAAACATCCTGGTACAGCTGCTGCTTTTCTTTGTTGCAGGCCAGCCAGAATTGATGTCGTATATTTGTTTGAACCCAAATATTTTGTCAAAAAGTTCATTCAGAAATTGAAAATGAAAGTCATTCACCTCTATGGGAGATATGAAATGTGAAATGTGGTGTGACAGGGGACACGAAGGTGGAGAAACCACCTACAGTGGAGCAGCCTGTAGCAGGAAGCACCCCTACACCCAGCTAGGGCACTAATCCCCCAGCCCTGAAAGGCTGCCATCACAGGGCTCAACCATGTCCTGCCCTCTCCTGCTCTGAGAAGCTGGGCATCGCATATTCCGCCTCTGGAGCCTACAGCCCGATGGCCTAAACACGGATTTCATCAGTTTTAAAATCTCCCCGCCAACCCCCTCCCCCGACCCCGGCCTCATCCCATGACCAACCCTTCCTGTCATCCCCGCCTCCTTGACCTGACACAACCTGTCCGTGATAACAAGGTGTAGAGC